GGATTGGGTTGGCAACAATGATGGGTTGAATGATTGAGTTGGAGTTTAGTGATCATGTGAATGTATAACATTTTTTTCAAAATAATTATTAAATAATGGTTAAATATCCTTTTTGGTCCCTCTACTATAGGAAAAAGCCCATTTTTGATCCCTGGACCAAAGAAATCCCTTTTTTAGTCCTTATTGTTCATAAATTTGGTCCCTTTTTGGTTATTCCGTTAATTTTTGCTCACGTGGCACATTAACTTAACTGAAACAGCTGATGTGGATATGCCAACATGTAAAAGATCCTTACATGGACTCTAGGTCATCCTCAAAGTAGACTCCACGTCACCCTCCACGTGGAATCCACTTCCTCCGGTCTTTTTTTCTTTTTTTCCTTTCCCCCCCCCCCAAGCGAACCCAAACTACCCAGGAGCTTGGGTTCGCGAGGAACCCAGGAGCTTGGGTTCGCGAGGAACCCAGGAGCTTGGGTTCGCGAGGAACCTAGGAGCTTGGGTTCGCGAGGAACCCAGGAGCATGGGTTCTACGCGAACCCGCAAGCTGGGTTCCTCACGAACCCAGGCTCCTGGGTTCCTCGCGAACCCGCGAGCTGGGCTCGTCGCAGGCTACAGAGATGCTACTATAGAACTTGGGAAAGAATTGGTGAATGTCTCTCTGTTTTTGCTCTGTTCTTGTTTTGTCTTGGAAGTGCTTTCTCTTTGGTTTCTCCTCCAGTTTATTTTGATTTTTTCAAAGGGGTTCTTCTGCTGTTTGCTTCCATCCTCTGTTTTTAGAACAAATTCAACTTGTGTTGAAAGTTCTTTCTTTTCTCGTTTCATTTCGCAATCTACCTGATGAATCTGTTTTCGATTACCTTTTGAGTGTTTCTTGTTTCGAAATTTCCAATATTTCTAGTTTTTATTTAGATTTTTAAGTTTTCAACGTCATTTCTAGACTAAACTTGTTTCCAAGGTCCAAACTTTCTTAAGAAATCCAATGAGATGCCTTTTAAATCAAACATGTCTCCAAGGCTAATATTGGGTTTTCCTCACCTTTTTCCGTTGAAAGGTTTCAAGAAATATCAATCTGGTATATGGAAGAGGCAGTATTGGTTTGATGGGCTTGGTTTCCCAGGCTGTTTATAACGGTGGCCGCCATGTCCTTGGGTGAGCATATTCCTCCCCAGACTTATCCTTTCTTTACCATTTTCTTTTTCATGAACATTTAATCAAACAGGTTTGTTTTGCTTTGATTTCCATCTTAACTTTCTGTCATGTTTCTGTCTGCAGAGTGATCACCAAGACACTTATGCCTAGAGAGGTATCACCTCTATTCTATCTATACCCCAATATTGTATTTTATCAAGTTTTCAAAATACAATTTTTTGGGGAAAACAGAGCATTATCTACATCTCTACAATTTTTTGGTTGCTAATTTTAGTGATGATTTTAGGCAATGCTTCATGTCTATGGTTAGAGATTGAGTTGTTGAGGTGAAAGATATTTTCTTTTGAGTTGGATATGTGTCTTTTGTTCCAATTCTTTTTAAAATTTCAGGATGCATTCCATGATATACAGTAATATATGAAGCATGTGACGAACCCAGGCTCGTGGGTAGCCTGCGACAAACCCAATTCGTGGGTAGCTTACAACGAACCCAGCTTGCGGGTTCGCGAAGAACCCAGGTTCCTAGGTAGCCTGGGTTCGCCTGTGGGGTAAAAGGAAAAAAAGAAAAAAAATGGCCGGAGGAAGTGGAGTCCACATGGAGGGTGACGTGGAGTCTACGTGGAGGATGACATGGAGTCCACGTAAGCATCTTTTACATGTTGGCATATCCACATCAGCTGTTTAAGTTAAGTTAACAGCAAAAATTAACAGAAGGACCAAAAAGGGACCGGATTTATGAAGAGTAAGGATTAAAAAAGGGATTTCTTCGGTACAGTGACCAAAAAGGGGCTTTTTCCTATAGTAGAGGGACCAAAAAGGATATTTTAAGGTAATTACATTTTTTTATAATAAAATATTACAAAAATCATAATCACAACAATTCATGACAATCTCAAAGTATATGGATGAAAAATACA